ATAACACCTCCAGCTATCATTTCTTAAAGGCTGGCAGGAGGGCAGGACTATTCTCTTTAGAGGGACAATTTGTACTTTCCACTACTCTATGTGGCCTTTGGCTTCTAAGCCCCTGCTTTACACAATAGACACTGCTTCTAAGTAATCCTGAAATATATCAAAAATCCCATTTGGGAATTAATATGTGACACACCATGCTAAAGTCTCTTAGTAGGAGAGCACATCTGTGAGTAGAGATAATGCTTGTAAAACAAACTATGGTCATTTCCTTAAATATATCATGGGTAAAGAGTCAATCACAACTATGGGGGAATGTGGGTTCAGAAATCACCTTCATCCTGTTGGCTGAGACAACAGAAGCCCCGAGAAGAAAAATGAGCTGCCACAAAAACTCATAGCACTCTATATCCTAAGAGAACAGCAGTAACTTTGAAAACAGATCTCACTGATCAGTTTTGGATACATGATGTGCCATGCACAGCCAGCATATCTGTGGATGCATAAGTGAAATAGAAGGCTTAACAAGTTTAGATAGACTCTTGAAGGTCAAGCAACTAATTGGTAGTTGGATTCCACTATGGGCCTGCCAGGTTCCAGAATCCCTCCCCACACAAAGCTACACTCAGATTCAGTTGACACCACAAAGAAGGCAGAGAAACATGTCCTATTCCCTGTTAGGATAAAGAATCAGGTTCCAAGGACTCACTGAGTATCCTGACTGTGGTCACAAACATTAACTCTCACATTTGTCTCAAAATCTACGGGATTTTACATGAGAGGTAAATAGCATCAAAGCAAATGAGCATCACTATGGGCACAGAGTTAAACATGTTTAATTACTTTCATTTGAATTCCTTATGTTTTGGGTCTTTTATGAGCTGGTGTCTGATTTGTGACATTAGTTCTACCCATTTCTTCTTCTCCCTTAGCATTGGGTGTTGTTAACTCCTAGTATTCTTGCTCTTGGACTGGTATTATATTGCTCTTGTCATTTTGTTAAGGAGTTTGTGTTTCAGCTTTTCTCGTGAAAAAATTCCTTTTAGTATTACTTGAAGATGAGGTCTCGGGGTGACAAACTCCATTAACTTGTCTGTCTGAGAAAACCTTTTTTTCCCCTTCATACTTAATTGATAATGTTGTAAGATAGAGAATTCTTGTCTTTTAGGATTATGAACATTTTCCTCCATTTTCTTCTCGCTTGAAAGGTGTCTGGATTGAAGTCTGGGGAAATCCTAATTTGCGAGTCCATATAAGTTATTATTCTTTTCTCTTGCTTCCTTTAAAATTTTTTCTTTATGATTTTTGATAGTTTGACAATGATGTGCCTGGGTAGAGATCTTTTTGTATCTAAGAATTTAGGTGTTCTCTCTGCTTGCTGGGCTTCCATGTACACTTCATTCTGGAGGCTGGGAAATTCTCATTTATTAATTTCTTGAATAGGTTTTCTAGTCTTAATTATTTTTCTTCCCCTTCTGGCAGTCTGATCATTTGTAGATTTCCTCTTCGAATTGAATCTGATATTTCTTGTAAACATTTCCTCAATTTTCCTTTGTGGTGACACCCTCTCGTCTAAATGTTATTTGAGTCTTCTACAGCTGAAATTCTTTCTTTTGCCATTTTGATTCTATTTAAAGCACTAAATTTGTCTGCATTTCATTCAGAATCTCTTTCCGTGGTCTTTTTATATATTCAGTCTCTTTAGTGAAGCATTCTCTTTGTTCCTGGATCTACTTTCTGAGACGGCGTGTCTGCCTATCTGCCTTTAATTAGACTTTCAGTATCTCATTTAACATTTTATTTTATTTTTTTAAAATACTTTATTTTATTTTATTTTTTTTTAAGATTTTTATTTATTTATACAAGCACTGGGTACAGTCAGAAGCGCAGGAGGGTGAGAGAATTCACCAGAGCCAGAGCGGGGAGCAGAGCAGGCAGAAGGACCAGAGTACACTGCTAAGGGGAGCAGCGGGCAGCAGGAGAGGTCTGCGTGCCATGTGGGACCCTCCTCTGGTGGCCGGGGAGCAGCTGGGGATCAAACCGGTGCTGCAGAGGCTGTGGGCAGCTTTGCAACCCAGCACTCAACCGCTACGCCACCTGGGAGGCCCTCATTTAACATTTTAAATGTTGTTTTGAAGTCAAGGTCAGATAGTTTCTCTATTTCTGTCTCCTTTAGAATTGTCACAGGATTTCTGTTCTTCTCATTTTGCTTTTCCATGTTGTGTGGAGATGTTCCTTGCTTCCTAGGCATGTATATTGCCTTATTTATTGCTATTTATGTGTGTGTATATGTGTTTGGGGCTCTGGGGATTTATCTTTGTTTGCCCGCTTCTTAGTTTACCTTGGAGTGGTGGAGGAAGAAGGAGGGGTCTCCAATACTTGATCTTGGTTTTAGGTGTGACATTGGTCACCTTACCTCTTGTTTTGTTCACAGTAATCCATATTCTGTGCTTGGATAGTTTTCATTTCTCTCCCTACCTCCCTGTTGCTCCTCTATCCTGGGGATCATGATCTATGAGCGTGGGCCTCCCAAGGGGAAGGGCAATATCTAGATCTCTAGGCTCACACTCTGGGAATAATTTGCACTTGGCTCAGAGGCAGCACTATGTGTGTGGTGGACACATGTGCCTACTTAACACTGTGGCAGCCAAAATGGCTGTCACTGCTCTGCCCTTGTTCTCAGTAGCCACTATTGCAAGACTGGAACATATATTCACTTTTGGCTTGCCTTCCCAGAGGATTTCTGAGTTCACTCTAAAGTACTTCTTTGTGGTGTAGTGCTTTTTATGGAGTCCAGCTTGGGTTGACCTGGCTTCTGGGAGGGTGGCAAGGAGGAGAGAGCTTTCAGGGGCATGTTGCCTCAACTGCAGGGCTCCCAATTTCCCAAGTCAGAGTCTGCCAAGCTACCACTGCCCTGGGTTGGGCCCAGGCCCACTCTCATGTCAGGAACATTCCTCTAAGGAATTTCACAATCTCCTGGGGTTTTCCTTGGCATGGCCTGGGAGGCAGACCTTAGCCCAGACACACTCCCTCATGCCTCCTCCTATTCTTTCCCCTCAGAAGCCACCAAACTTAAATTCCCTGGGGTTGTCCTGGATCTGTATAACTGGGTGCAAGCATCTGGATTTTTCTAGGAGCACCTATCAGTGTTTTTTTTCTAGTTGCTGTCAAAGGAGAGGGTGATTCCAGTTTCTTTATTCTGCCATGTTGTGGGTGGATTCCCTTCATTTGTCTAATTATTTTCAGATATAACACTCCATGTGCACAAGTCCCACGAAAAATAACAGAACAGACTTGGATATTATCACAGGAGCTCTTTTTCTTTATGTTAAATGGACTATTAAAAAATGCTGTAACTTTTCTCTGCTTGCTTCAAACAGCACAGGCTAACCTCAGTGAAATGCATCTTGTGTGGGGTGCAGTAGAAATGAACTAATTGCCACATTCTAATTTTCTTTCTATTGCAATACAAACTTGGTCTCTGAATTATCCTTAACTTTAAAATCATTAGAAAGTGGTGGTGCAAGGTGTTAAGTCTCAGCACTGAGAAGCTATCTATAGCCACTGCAGCACAAGTTTTATCCCTGGCCAGCGAGCTATCCACATGGCACAGCAGACCTCTCCTCTCTTGCTCACTGCTCCCCTCATCAATATATTTCAGTAGATCTACTTGTTTTGCTCCCTACTCTGCCGCTGGTGAATCTTTTCATCTCCCACACCTCTGGTCTGCACCCCAGCTCTTGTATGCATAAATAAATAAATCTTTTTTTAAAACGTGTATCTAACAATTTGAGAAAATGCTTGTGATAAGCCACTAGGTAAAAGTAAATAAAAATAAAGGATTACTGATACCACAATTACGAGATAAAGATTTTATATGCAAATAGACAAAGTTAGAACAATACATGAAAAATACAAAAGCATTCACTTATTTTGGCAGGGGCCTCATGTATTGTTCTTTATTTTCTACTTTATTTCTATATCATTGTGTAATTGGTTTTTAAATTTATCTAAAAGGTAAAAATAGTTGATGGGCTGCAGACAGACAAACCCGTACCAAGGACAAGGGAGGGGAAACTGACTGATACACATACACAGACTGTATTGTATAAGACCAAAGTGGAACTAGCGTAAGTGGGAAAAAATAGATTCCTTCTTCACAGCAAGTCGACAAGAAACCCAAATGGAAGAAAGTACATTAAACCTTCACAAGAAAGTCATACAAGCTTTAGTCCTGTAGGTAGTGACAAATACAACACACTAAGATTAAAAAGCAATTTTCAAAAAAAATAAAGGTAACAACCTATTTTCTTTTAAATGGTCAAAGGCTATGAAAAGGCATTTTATGCCTTAGAAGGGGAAATCCAATTGTTAATATATATCATGACAAGATGTTCATTCTTACAAATCAGAGAATTATGAATTAAAGCCACATGAAATGCCATTTGACACCTATGACTGCAAACTCAGATGTCTACTAATCCTAAATGTAGTGTCCATGTGGAGTGGCAGGTCATTACAGACTGAGGGAGGATGTTTAAACTTTGGAGGCCATTTGTCAATATTCCATTGAGTTTAAGATGAGTTTTTATGAAGGCCTATTAATTTCTCTTCTAGGGACCCCTATGTATAAATAGATATATATGCACAATGTGTTCATTTTCTCCAGTGGTGAAAAATCAGAATAGTACAAGATTTCACTAATTAGACAAAGGACAAATATAACACACTTTATCATCATGGATCAATCTTGAAAACATGAAAAGGCATACTAAGAGTGTGGGACCATTTATATAAAGCTTAAAAACCAACATGATAATATATAATGTATTATATATAAATACCTGTGTATCTGTAAAGTGTCAAGGTATTGTGGACAATACCCCCCTCCCACAAAGTGGGGAGTGTGATTTCTGTGGATACCTGGCTCATAGTAGACTCTTAATGACTGCTTGAATTACCATGACAAAAGACTGTCCTCCTTCCCAGATGTCCCAACTCACCTTGGATTCCAGTTCCTAGAGCCATTTCTCTCCCATGAAGGGCTCTTCTGGGGACCGAGTTCTGGAGTTGCAGCCAAGTCCTGGTCACTGTAGTCTTCCTGGTCTGTGGCCCACTTATCCTTGGATTTCATGGTGTCATGCTGAGAATCTAGTGAGATGATGTCTGAGGGGGAACTCATCACCCCTGAGTCCTCTGTCGTGTCTTCTGATGCGAAACAGCTGCCAACAGACACAGTTTCCTCGGCCTCTGACAACACGGGTGGAACCCCATCTGTGCTGCAGATACCTCCAGCATCCAGGGGCAGGGTCACTGGACAAAACATGGCAAGAACCAGATCAGTGGACACCTGAGACCCCACATTGCCAAACAAGCCCAGCACCAACATGCCTGCCACATCTGAAATTGGGGATTCAGAGTGCAGAGAATAAAGGAGGGTACATAGCCACTTCCTTGGAGACACTAAACAGAGGGCACCATGTACATACGCATGACTAAGCACAAAATTCTCCTTCAAAAATCAGCATTTTGTGATTGAGCCCTTTGAGTTTTTATCCTGTAGATGACAATGAGCAAACATTTAAACATTCAGACTAATCACATGGTTATTTTGAGGAAGAACCTTGTTTCAATTGAAATCACTGCAAAATGAGTTCTATTTAAAAACTGGAGTTTAAAAAGTATAAAGAAACTTAGAAATTAATACTGTTTGGGACTTCCTACATTTGACATGTGGCCTAAAATATAAATGACATTTGGTCAATATCTGGTGCTCTCCTCATTTTCAGATGTAAGACAGACTTCTAGCTTAAATAAGAGATAATGTTAGAAGGGAATCTTTGCATAAAATTAAAAAGAATCCTAACAAAATACCCTTGGTTGAAGCGCTCTAGCCCTGAGCACTAAATGTGATTTACTGGACTGAAGGAATAAACGCACAGAGCTGTCAGCCACTATCAAAGTCAAGGTCCCCACAAACATGAAAATGAAAGGGGAGCACTGAAGCTATTTGACATGTATGTGGTGCTCTTTGGAGTTAGATGAATAGACTGAAGTTACTGGATTTTTTTCCTTAGTGTTATAGGTTCTCTGAGTTCACTGACAGCTCTATGCACAGAGAAGAAAAGTTCTAGGGTTGGAAGGATACAGGACACAAAACTCTGACCTATCTGTAGATAGCAGAGTGGTTTTTTTTTTTAATAATGTAATGCAGAAATAGATTTATATTTCAGAGTCCCTTAAATTTATCTAAGTGCTACTTATGGCAGTCCAGGAAATTAGAACTGTACTGTACTGTAGTTTCAATGTATTTGTTTTAAAATTATTGCTCTAATCAGCAGTCATAAGATGCCTATTGTGAATAAAGGCCATGGACGCATCGAGTGTACACACCCCATCATCATGCACGGATGGTCCTTACATCATAACTGCATCTAAAAGCATTATGATTTTAACTGAACAGTAGACTAGCAGCACAGAATTAGCAAAACCTAAAGAGCACCAATTAGAAAAACCCTTCAGGTGTTGTTTTATTCGGGATTATGAATAGTAAAGATATGAGCACAATTGAAAAATTAAACATTTCACAAAGAAAGTTGAAAAGAACAGAATGCAAAGAAGGGATGATGAGGGATGTGCAAATGCACAAGGCAATGTATCTGAGCACAGTGAATGCATTTTAACAATCACCTTTTTCCTCTTGTTATCTTCTTGTCTTTTGTTGCAAGACTTTTAATTGGAGGGAAAAATAAACTACTTGCAGGTTAATACCACCACAAAATCTTTTGTCCCCCAAATCAAACCCAATGTTGACACTGCTCAGAGCTTCCCCAGTGCACAGCTGTCAAAGGCAGCTCAGACGACCCAGGCAGACACATTTCTTGCCTCCCTGTGTCACTGTCACTAAATAGTTCAACAAAACTAACACATTTTGTTCTAATGTAAAGCAGCACTATTTGATGCAAGGGCATGTTTCAGGTCACAGAGACCTATATTCAAACATGGCGTGTCTGTTGATGGACTGCTCACATGGGCATCTGAATGATTCTCCATCTCAGTTTCATCTGGAAGGAGGTGGATGAAACAGTGACCACAGGATTGCTTACAGGGATTGGATGTGTGGGGTGGTGGCTCTGGCACGCCTCCACTGCAGGCATGTGCCAGCCAAGGAAGAGCCCATGGTTCCCCTGGATACAGATTTTTTTTTTAAAATTTTATCTGTTTCTCTTTTCAGTTTTTTTCTTCTTTTTTTTTACTGTATATTTTTACATCATTTTTTCATTTTTGCATGCATTTTCATCTTGGTTATAGTCTCCATACAATTCCCAGCCCCCTTTTTTGATCCTACTCCCTCCTCCTGCACCTCCCCCTCATAGTGTGTCTCTGGTTTATAGTTGCTTGTTGACCCCAGTAGTCACCACTAAATATGAAGGAACTTCAAGAAATTTGCTTCCTTTAAGTAGAAATCTCAAATTAGGCCTTGTGGAAACTAGGACTATTCCTATAAGTAGGGTTCCAGACAAAAATCCTCTGGGAAGGCAGAATGCAGCCCTGGTTGAGGGGGACCCCCAAGTCCACCCCAACCCCTTCCATTCAATTCTAAAATCAAGAATCTTTGCCTGAGCTTTTTTATGACCTTCAGAAATTCTGAAGCAGGAAAAAAAAGTTAAGAATCACTGCTCTAAATTAAGCCACTATTACTCAAGTGAAAAAAGGTATGAGAGGTCTACATTCGATATGTGTGGATTCAATGAAGGGTGTCAGTACTAGAGGTCCCCTCTGCCCAGAGGACCCTCCACTTCTCATGGATCTTCTTCTCCAGGGTCCAGGTTGCTTCATCCCTGAAACCAGTTAACATATTCTGAGAAGGCTCGCCATGAACCTATGCTGGAGGTCAGAGAGCTGATGTAGGCAGAGCAGGTAAAGGAGGCCTAAGCATGGAGGAGGCAGACAGGAATAGGAAGGATGACTGTAAAATGCAGTGCCAAGTCACCTGTAACAGGTAGCAAGGAGCCAGGAGCAGTCCATGCCTGCACCAGGCTCAGAATGAAGAGTGAACCATGAGCCAGAAAGAGACGGTAGCATGGGCAAAGACTGGGAAAACTTCTGGGAAGCTGTAAGCACCTACTTAAGTTTCACCCACCACAGGGAACAGATTTCTGACACCTGTCTCCCCTCTCCCCTGGGTGTCAAAAGCCCAATCCCAACACAAAACTTGCCCAGTGAATGGTATCATCTCATCTTCCCATCTCCTACCTCTTTGTGTTGTATCAAAAAAAAGTGGAGTTAGTGAGTGCTTATCAAGTCACCACTGCACTTCTGTCATGAAACATTTTATTGGATGTTTTAAGAAACACTGAAACTAAAATGAAAAATGTTAACTTTCCCTTCCCCCCACCCATGTGAGATTACAAGGTTCTTTCTTGGCCAATCTGTCCTTTTATTTCCTTACTGATGGTTTCTAAGGATTTACCATCTATAAAATCTATTAAACAACTAGCATTTCCAGTCATTAGAGTTCAAATATCTTCCTGTCCACTTTTTCCATCTTGGTGCTCAGCCATCTTCACACTCCTTGCGACTTTAGAAGCTCCTGCAGTGTCTTTGTAATATGGGCAGGGGGGTTCATCAGAGACTAACATTTTGCAGTTAAACTGAGGCCACTATAACATTCTTGTCCTTTCCTGATGCTACTTTGCATGCCTTCTTTTCACCAAGGAGAGTCCCTGGAGGGTCCTGTTGACCTGGGCAGCCAGGCAGCCCAGCACTGGATCATTATGCCCAGCGCAGGCCCCAGACAACTGGGTAGACAACTGTTTCCCGAGAAGCCCAGGGTACATCAGCTCTCCTTTACTCTCCTATTTTCTTTCTCTTCATCTTCTAGACAGTATGTATTAATTTACTCTCTTGTAAGTTCATCATATAAAATCCAGCATTTCAGAAGCTTTGTAACAGCAGAGTTTTCAAGACATTTAACCCACAATATTTCTGGAAATGTAAGAAACTTCAGCTTACTTTTTTTTTGTGTGTGTGTGTGGGACCCTCGCCAGTGGCTGGGGATTGAACTGGTGCTGCAGAGGCTGTGGGCAGCCTCGCAGCCCAGCGCTCAACCGCTGCACCACCAGGGGAGGCCCAACTTCAGCTTACTTTTAACATGATCTTTTTCCTCCCACTGCCTTTCCTGTTCCAGCTGTTAGAAAATGCCTCATTATCCAGACTTCCACTCAGAAGAGCAGCTGAAAGGATTGCTGCAGGTAGATGGATTTTAGAGGAAAAAGCATCTTGGAAGTCATGGGAGAAGGTGGTTTTACAGAGAGGAAGCAACTCCCTATCAGGATTGGCTACTGTTGACATATGCCCTTCTAACGCCATGCATTTGATCCCTCAGATCCTCAGGAATATGGTCTTTTCTTTCCTTTGGAAAGTCTTCTTCTTCCTTCCAGGGCATCTCTGAAGACTTTACTCCTGTATGAAGTTGGCTTTCTCCAGGTGCTCTTGCCTTGTTGTGTCCATACCACTGTTACAGTGACACTAATAACATATCTCTCTAGCTCAGAGGTAAGCCCCTTAGGAACTGAGAGGTTACAACGAGGATTCAATGAATGAGATGACACCTGGAGATGAGTTAGCACAACACAGGGTCAGTGTTCAACAAATGCATCCATGATTACTAGCAGTAGGTGCAAGTTAAATGGATGACTGGCGTCCATGTCCCCAGTTCTCAGGGGGCAGCAGTGGTTCTGGCACTTGACTACAGCAGAATCCCTTGGAGAGCTTGATAACTGATTGCTCAGTTGATCTCTCTCCCCAGAGAGTTTTCAACACAGCCGTTTCAGGTGTGAAACGCTTCCAGCGTTTGAGGAAGCACGCTGGCTACCAGGCCAGCTTGTGCTCTGGGCTAAGCTACAGCAGGGAAGAATCCACAGTCAAGCTTTGTGTATTGCTAGAGGCTTTCTGTCCTCACACTGTAACCTCTTCAATACTATGTTTCAAAAACAATAACTTCTCTAACACAAGGCACTGGAGCTAATGGACTGCTCAGTTTTTAAAACTGACATTCAGTCCTTCCTCTCAAAAGCAGGAGTATTTTTCTCTTTCCTTAACTGACAGATGCCACTTTCCATTTCAATGCTTGTCAACTATCTCCCACTTCACGGGAAGTCAACAAATAATGCCTTTAACAGTTTACAAGTGATGTTTTTGTTGGGGATTGCAGAGGGGAAATTTCTTCTGTAATAACCATACTATAATGGCTTTAGAAAGAATGAAGTGATGGACAGAAAGAAAACACATCCCCAAGTGTCTGCAAACTA